AGAGAGAGAGAGAGAGAGAGAGAGAGAGAGAGAGAGAGAGAGAGAGAGAGAGAGAGAGAGAGAGAGAGAGAGAGAGAGAGAGAGAGAGAGAGAGAGAGAGAGAGAGCGAGAGAGAGAGAGAGAGAGACAGAGAGAGAGAGAAATATTCAGGAATGAAACTCTTCTGTGGTTGTGTGTGCCGGCTGAGACATTGCACAACTGGGACCTATTCTCCTCATCACCATAGCAACCGGAGCTTTAGCTGTTCATATTGGCTGTCGGAAGATTTTACAGATGAACTGTTAATTGAACTGTTAGTTTAAAGAGGAGAGGGAAGCTGAACACACGCCTGTGTGTGTGTGTGTGAAGATCACATGGATGCCCGTGTGGTGTTTGTATGTACACCACAGCACAGTAATCTACATTTTATAATCTATAATCTATATGTATGAAACTATATTTGTTCATTCTGTGGACCATGTTATATTATCAAGTCTACACTTTGACAAAATTAGACTGTAAGATGTATTCAACTGTAGACTAATAAACTACTCAACATGTTACTATATATGGAATAAGGTAATACAATACAAAAACCCTATTATTCATATCAAGATGAATCACAACTTCTTGAACACAGTTTCAATAAAAAATCTAGGATTATAAATTCATTATAAGCTTCACTCTTGTCGTGTCCAACCTTGTGTTTGCTAGAGATCTTGTGCAATATTTGAATTGACCTAAAACTGACACGTGACCAGCTTTGATTTAAAGATGCACTTGTGTCGGCCAAAGGGGCCGGAACAGAGAGGTCAACACATCTAAACAAAAGCTTGAGTTGCTGACAAAGGACACAAAGGACTTCCAGTGTTTGAAAGTTCATTTACAACCAAAGTACCCCTGAGCCCTGAGATAATCATGTGGTTGAATCTTTCAAATTTCTGTTAAAAAATAATCTGAATAAGTGGCCCACAAAAGGCAAAATGTGTTCTACTGCTCTGCAGCCTTATTACTGCCTTCATGTACTGCTGTGCTGTAGGGCTGCACAGCAGTACATGAAGTATAGCTATCAATACTTCTTAGTATCTCGACTCATCTCATCCACACACAGTTCACCTGACATCTTTGATCAAAGCAATACAATTTAAGCTCTATAGGTCTGAGCCCTGCATTAACCAAACGCCATGGAGCTACAGTAAATATGCTTTCTTAGGAATCCTCAACCCAGCCGCTTCTCACCCTCCTGATTTTGTATCTTTTCAAAGATGTTAAATAAGGATACGAGTCTCAGCTCTCTTTCTCGTAGAGTGTATCCTCCTGCTGAGAGACAGGCAGAAGGTAGGTGGGTTTTGAACGTGTGAGAGCGCTTGTATTGTGTGTGTCCTTTGCATGTGTGTTAGAGTGTGAGTCGAGCTCCTTCATGCCTGTTGAGAGGCAGTGGGCGGCCGATCACTGTCAAAGTGGCACAGAGCGGGTGTGAATGTGCGTCTGCTGTGAGTGTGTGTGTGTCTGTGTGTGTGTGTTTATGGGAGGGCGGTAGAGAGGTAGATTTTTTTCTGTATACATTAGATGTGTATGTGTGGGGGGGCGGATTGCACATGTGTAAGAGTTGTGTGTGTGTGTGTGTGTGTGCGTGGGCGACAGATCACAGTCAGGAGAGTC